CATATCTCTAAGCAGAGGTGGAAGGAAAGGCCACAGCTATCCCAATTTGATATTAGCTCCAGAGAGAAATCTACCCAGGAAACCTCTGGGAGGCCCTTTTGTATACGAATCCTTCAGAGACTTAAAGCAGTATCAACATCTCTGCAAACTACCTGCCCGTGTCTCCACATAGCCCCCATGATGCTTTTGAGGCCTTTTGCTACTCCGTTCTTCCAGCTGACAAATGCACTAATCAGCCTGATTCACCTCACTGGGCAGGTGGAGGCTAAATGGTATCCATCAAGCTCTCCAAGCAAGTCTTAGGAAAAAGGTCCAGTTATACTGATGTCACTTTTAAATTGCCAATCTCAAAACAGAGATCATGGAAAGGCTCATAAGAACAGACCCTGAGTCCACAGAATGAGTCTGCATCCTGCCTCTTCCTTCCCACTGCTACAGTCACAAATAAGGTGCCCAGGGAGAGCACCCAGGAGCCAAATGGAATGTTTTACTGCATCAAATAAGGCTCAGTAATAGCTACAGGCACTTCTAAATAGTCATAAAACATCCTAGGCTGCAAGGCAGGGTTTGTAAGCTCAATACTTCCCCAAAAGCAACAATTGCTTGACTAGGTAAAGTCTCCCAATCAACCAGGATTGGGTTGTCCTCTTGGAAAAGAGCCTGTAGCAGAATCTTCCATGTAGAGAGCTAGCAAAAGCATCAGTTCTCAGCAGTGACGAGATTCCAGGAAACTCCACACGTGAGCATGGGTTTCAGGAACAGCCTTTGGGATGAGCCACAGGAAGGGCACTCAGAGTTGGTGTCTAATGCCTTCCATGTACTCCCAGAACCCAGGAGCCAAGAAGAAGAGTGCAGGGCCCATGGCACTTTCTTCTGGGGATCTTATGCCCACATCCAGTCCTTCTGTCACTCCCATCCCACTTGCTATAACCCACTCCTCTTTCTCCCCTCCTCCCTGGAATATATCAAGGAAAGAAAGATTTTGGAACATAGGAGCTAGGGCACTGGCTTTTAGATCAGGGCCAAGGTTGCTCTACCAGACAATGCCTAGCTTCTAAAAGCAAGCAGAGCACTTGGCTTACTGGGTCCTAAGGAGAGCTGACACAGGAATCACATACTAAACTAGTTAGCAGCCTCGAAGCTGGCCAAGTATACCAGAGGTGACGAGGGAGGCTCTGGTGGTGGCTCACTTTAATTGTGGGTGATGCCTTTCATGCATATTCAATCTCCCTGTGATTTATCACTCTTCTGGTGTCTGAAGTGTTCTATTTCACTTTGCCACTCCTGTGTCTCCAAGGGGACTGGGCAGAAATAGAAGAGGACATTGGACTTTTGCGTCTCCTGATCCAGGAGAGGCGGCTGCACTTCCCATCAATGTCAAGGCTCTGCTCTTCCCGCTCCTCTGCAGCAGGACCATGGCTGGATCTGCAGCTGGACACGACACGCTGCTCCCAACCATCTAAGAATGAAATAAGCTTTCCTGGTTCCATCCTCCACAATTTCTCATCTGTCCATTTCCTCTGAAACTTGGATCCTTCAGAGACTAGGGGGCACACAAAGGACGACTTGTGGGCTGGCCTCAAACCAGGGCACTGAAACCAGTTCCTTGGAGGAGTGGACATACCCTGGGACCATGTTTTCTGCTCCAGGTGTGGTGGCCTAGCGAACCTACCCCTGGCCACTGCTGTCAGCAGCACAGTGGCTCTGAGGCCCACCCAGCCTGACTGCCGGCTCAGATCGCAGGAACAAGTGGGGCTCCCTCCTGAGAAGGAAGAGTTCCAGCTGCCCAGGGCGGTTTCGATCACTAGTACTGCTGACTCAACAGCAAATGCCAAACCAGCTGCACTGACCATCAATTGGGGAAAATGGAAATGTGGGGGGCGGGCAGCAGGACAAGAATACCAAATCTGTGCAAACCCAAACCAAACATGACCAGGAGAAGTAAAGTTCATTCTGGCCCTTGCGAAGTTTTCACCTCAACGACATTTACAGTGTTAATATGTGTGATTATATAATTATAATTAATGTCATCAATGAACAGGCTCATCGCCAGCTATGGCACAAACAGGGGGTTCACTGTTGCCTGCTTTTGTATGTCTCTGTCACAAGTCTACAAGCAGATCTGTGTATCACCGAGTCCCCACTGGGTGCCTTATCTTTCACATCACAATAATCCTGGGGGAGTGCAGGGGGTCAGTTCCTTCCTTCCTTCTTTCCTTCCTTCCTCCTCCCTTGCTTGCTTGCTTCCTTCCTTCCCTGATTTCCTTCCTTCCTTTCTTTTCTTTCCTTCCTTCTTTCTTTCTTTTTGCATCTTTGCGGTATTGGGTCACTGGTACCATCCCTGACGCCCTGCTCAGGTTACCACCAGCCTTTGTATCTCTCATCCCCAGTGTCCCAGAGCCTTAGTGCTAGGCAAGCACTTTACAATGGAGCTACATGCCTTGCCTTTTTGTTTGCACTTTTTATTTATTTTTTATTTTTGTTGGTTGTAGGGCACTGTCCCTGAGCCTCTTTGTGCTCAAGGCTAGCACTCTACCACTTGAGCCACAGCGTCACCTCCAGTTTTTGAGTGGTTTATTGGAGGAGTCTCAGGGGACTTTTCTGGCTTTGAATCTTCAGATCTTGGCCTCCTGAGTAGGTAGGATTATGGGTATGAGCCACTGGCCCTTGGCTTGCACTTTTGTTCCTCACTATGCTAACTCTACCTGGGTGGCCTTGATCTCGCCACTCTCCTGTATCTTACAAACAGTTGAGCTTACAATTGTGAACCAAAATGCTTGGCTTTTTTTTTTTTTTTTGGTCAGTCATGGGGCTTGAACTCAGGGCCAGGGTGCTGTCTCTGAGCTCTCTGGCTCAAGGCTAGAGATCTACCACTTTGAACCATAGCTCTATTTCCCCAAATCCTTTTACCAGGGCCTTATATGTGCTGGGCAAGTGCTCTAGTTGAGCTACATCCCAGCCCAGATGCTTTTAAGAGTAAGAACTCTGAGAAAGGAGGGAAGAGTGGGTAACCCCAGGTAAACAGAGTACCACCTCTCAGCATCCCAAATCATCATGCTCACTCCTGGGGAGTCAAGGGTGAGCCTTTGAGACAGCCTTGGCTAGTTCTATAGACCCCATAGGATCTGCTGAGACCAAATCAGACACAATCCCTCAGTGAGGCAGATGGTACTGCAAAAAGGAGGAAGAAGCCTGTAATTTTAGTTAGTAGGAAGGAAACCCACACTTTGGTCTACAAAATCTACGATGAAAAAAATGATTAAAACCAAACAAAAACCAATGCAGGCTGGTTTGGATCCAGACTAATGAGCTCTCAAGACACAGGAAACTCTTCACCAGCCTTTGTATTTCTCATCCCCAGTGGTCTAGGTGGAACTCTGCCCTTGATACCTAGGGACCCACACTTCCAAAGCCTGAAGCAGCACTTGTCTTCTGCTACGCTGGCATTGGCCCAGCTTGTAACAGGCATGACTTAAGAACCTTGATACAGGTAGGCAATTAATAGTCCAAGCTACTGGTCATAAGGACTGCCAACATGTGACAAATGGAACATGCCTCAAACTTAGCATGCCGCAAAACCCAGCACTGTTTAACCAAGTCACGCTAAAAACAACTGCAGGAATATTTAAAAGCCAAGTCCCCACTTTTAGTAATCCCTGATTAATCTTTTATTTTCTTTTGCTCTGAGATAAGGTATTGCTATGGAGCCCAAGCTGGCCTTGAACTCTTGATTCTCCTTCTACTTACAAAGTTCAGTAAAGCACAACGGGTCCACCCAGGTGCACTGGGGTTGCCACTTGGGCAAAGATCCAACTGGCCTGTCCACTCTGACATCCTGCTTCAGCATTACCCTGCGCTGTGTTGGAGATACCAATGTCAAGGTAGGCATGAAGCTGAAGAAACAGGGCCTATTCACTCAATCAGGGCTCAAATCACACCCAAATCAGGGTTCACACCATGGAGTCTCGGAGCCCCTGACAGCTCTCATCCATCTGATTAAAGCTCTATCTCGGGCTTTAATCGCTAACCTTTCTTGCTGGGATAACGAGAATAAATACCATCTATCTTATGCCAGATCTCTTCTGGTATGAAGCTTTCAGGGAGCTTATTCGATTCCACTGTAGTGAGGACTCCGAAGGACGCAGCCTACACCCTGCTGGATGGTGTTAGGCTCACTGGCAGGGGTACGACTGGGGATTAGGCGAGAAGCAAAGGCAGGATATCATTTTATTATTAGGCAAAATAAATTCTCTCCACTGCCTAGGCATGTTGAAAGAATAAGTAGCGACCGTTCAATTAATTCACTCAACAACTGCTGATTGCTCGTCCCCTGGGTGCCAGCGACAGGACTGTTCCAGTGTGAGACCGTTCCCACTTGAGAGACGGACGCTCAGACACCCTTTAGAGCAGCAATGGGACACAGGCCAAGCAGCTTGACTTAGAGATGAGACCCTGGGGTGTTTGCTGCTTTCAGAAAGAAAAGGGGTGTGGACAAAAGATAGAAGCTCCAGGGGGAAAGGAGTGACCACGCTTAGTGACACGCTGCCAGCTGTGACCACGAGTCTGCAGAGCGCACCACCACGCAGGGAGAGACACCAGTCATAAAAGCACCCAAATTGGCCCATTTCCATGCTAGGGTTATTGATCTGAGAAGTACACCACCAAGACAAAGGAACTGTAGACAGACCTGACTGGACAGGAAGTCATTATCTTCCCAGTGACACAAGTGACACAGTGACACAAGATGGGCAGGATGGCTGGTCCTGCAGCCCGGACATGCGCTTCGGAACAAGGCCGTTCCAGGCTCTGGAGGCTGGTCTGGCCCCCTCTGGCAGAGGCCTGCTCTCAGTCCCAAAGCATGCTGTGGCCAGTACCCAGAAGCCACCTGCCCTCAGAAGGGCTCCAAGTGGTCCAAGGACAGAGACAGGCAAGCTCATGCATGGTTAGTATCACAGAGGGCAGGACCATCACCACAGACAGAGTACCTGCGAACAACCTACTTTGAGGGCTCAAATGCAGATAGGTCTTCTGCCTTGGGCTTGAGGCTAAACCAGCAAAATAAAATGAAGAAAAACAAAAACACACCCTGTGAAATCAACAATACTACACGTGCCATTTGCAAAATGTTCAGACAGGTCTGAAATCATGACAAGTGACTTTGTTTTTCGTGCCTTGAAAATGAGCCTCCCTCGCTTTGAGCACCGCAGTCTCCTGTGGCTGAGGGACAGGCTCACTGGGCCTGGTACCCAGGGGAGAAGGGGGAAGGGAGAGGTGGCTCCCTTGGCACTGACAAACTCACCGGTGCAATCACTTTTACCTTTTTGCTTCATGGCTGAGGCCTTCCTTTAATTTGCCTTTTGCTAACTAACTGTTCTGTAATTTTGTTTTGGACGGGCAATCTAGGAAATGACAGAAGCCAGAGAAAAGAAGAACATGGAATGTCCTAGAATATACCATTAGAAGGAATTCTCTACCTAGTGCCAACTATAATGAGTTAAGAGGAAAAAAGCAGAGGCTTTTCTCTGTATCCATGTGATAGCTGGGAGGGACAGGTTTTTATGGGGTTTTTAATCACAGCTTACCTACTGAAAACAGAAACAGTCCTTAAACTGGGGACTATTTTAAAGACCAAGGTAAGGACTAGAAATATAACCCATCAGTCATTATCTAAACTCAATCCACAGGCTTTGTTTTTTTTTTTTTTGTTATTGTTTTATTGAGTCTCACTATGCAGCTATGTAGTCCAGGCTTCCTCATGCTTGTGATTCTCTTGCTTTTTTTTTTTTTTTTGTCGGTTGTGGGGCTTGAACTCTGGGCTTGGGTGCTATCCCTCAGCTCTTCAGCTCAAGGCAAGCACTCTACTGCTTGAGCCACAGTGCCACTTCTGTTTTTCTAGTGGTTTATTGGAGGTAAGAGTCTCACAGACTTTCCTGCCCAGGCTGGCTTTGAATCATGATCCTCAGATCTCAGCCTCCTGAGTAGCTAGGATGACAGGCCTGAGCCATTGGCACACGGTTCATCCTCTTGCTTCTTAAGAGTTGGGATTATAGGTATGTGCCACCATTTCCAGAGGATGATCAGATCTTAATAATGGCTATTTTATAGGTTTAACCTGATCCTGGACAATCAGTTAAGGGTAGAGTGTCAATTGGTCATAGAGGACCTTTCTACTTAGTTCAAGTAAGTGATATATATATATATATCACTTACTGATAATGAACTTGGACTGATAATGAACATGGAATTTAATTTCTAAACCCCTAAAATACCGAGGGTTCCAAATTATCAAGGGAGAAATAGGGGATACCATGAGCCTCATTTAAAAAAGTATTAAAGTTGTTTAAGATATTAAGGATGACAAAAGTTGAAAATACGGAATATAGTTTCTCAACCAACAAAGCTTAAAAACAAAAAAAGAGCAACAGGGACTTCATTTTCACAGCCTCTAACTCATTGTCCCTCCTCGTTAAGTAAGGCAGTTCTCATTGGCTTTAAAGACAGAATCACTTTAGTGCTCAATGACGGATCAAAACCTGCCCTCTAACAGAGATTCATCTCATCAGGGCTTTCAACACGAGCTCCACTTCCATCAAGCCAATGGGTTCATGGTCACTGGCAGATTAAATTCCCTTTCTGGCAGGAGTTGAAAAATTCCCTCAACTAAGTACATGTAAAAAATGACAACAGTTTAATGACTCGGCTCCTGAGGAAACCAGATGCCAACCTCACACTTCATTAATGAATGTCCTGATCAGCAAAAGCCACAAGACTCTGGGTACCTTTTTAATTGTATTGTGCTTGCTGCTGGTGCCGCCCCTATCTGAGTTCTCATTGTGCAGAATGTCCAAAGCAGTCTCCCTCTCTTTGAGCTTCAATGCCTCAATTTCTGTCTTGAGTTCGTTGAGCTGCTCCTGCAGGTGCTTGCTCTTCTCCATGTACTCCACTCTGCAGCAAAAGGACATGGTGCATCAGGCCTTGACAAACACTGAGGCATGGCTGACACGCTCTGGGACCCACAAGCTCTGTGTGGGGGTGAGGTTCTTACCTCCAATTAACTACTTAAAAAACCAGAAGTGGAGCTATAGCTCAAAGTGGTAGTGCACCAGCCTTAAGCAAAAGAGCTCAGAGACCGTTTCCAGGCCTTGAGTTTGAGCCCCATGACAGACAAAAAACAAAACAACCCACTGGATGTTTCTTGTTGCTTTACATTGATCACAACTACATAAATACACACATCTGGACAACGGTGAAAGGAACTCAGCAAATGCCACCACTGGCAGCTCTGAGTCACTCATTGGCTTCTTAGCTATGACAGTCTGAAGAGATATACAAGCTGACTTGGGGTGGTCCACGCTGGACTCCACAGACACATTCCCAGAGGCTATCCTGAGGTAGCACATATGGGTGTAGGGTTTTAACCCCTGGTCTGCTCAGCAACTGTGTACTGCTGAGTGAGCTCATTAACTAAGTCTGTCCTCATTTATGAAATGGGAACACTAACATCTCCTTTGATGTCAGTGTGCTATTTGTTTGCTAGCAGGAATTAAAGGAGACGAGAGCTAGAAAATTGTGGTGCATGCATGTGCATTCTGGGGAACCACTGGGATTGTCCTCTGCCAGCTATGGCACCATTCACTAGCTTCTCTGGCTCTGAGAAGGAGGGGGCTCACTTCCACCTCCCCCACAGGAGATCGCTGTCCTGTGCAGCAGACGGACCCTACCTGGCTGCTGGTTTTCCTCAAGCCAAGTTTCTTGTCTCACCTTCACTCTTAGGCACACTGCAGATCCCAGCTGCCAAGAACATGGCCAGGAGACTGCCACATGTAGTCCCAGGGGAACCGCACTCTGACTGACTCAGTCGACCCAACAACCTGGTCCTATTCTTCAAAGTTAGGCCACCTAACCACCAATCAAGTGTTATTTCTATTTTTTCGTGCTGAGCCTGAGGCTTAAATTCAGGTCTTGGGTGTTGTTCCTGAGATTCCTTTTCTCAAGGCTAGTGCTCTACCACTTGAGCCACAGTGTCACTTCTGGGTTTTTCTGAATAGTTTTGTTAGAGAGAAGAGTCTCACAGACTTTCCTGCCTGGGTTGACTTCAAAATGCGATTCTCAGATTTCAGCCTCCTGAGTGGCTAGGATTACAAGCATGAGCCACCAGTGCCTGGCAGTTTCGAGTGTTATTTTTATCCTGGAAGACTGACTGCTGATCTGCTGTGCTTAATTTCTAATTAGGAAACTCATCTTCCAGAGGGAGGACAAGAGAGCAACCCTTTGCAGAGTTGATGACAGGCTGCTATGATGACCTTCCTTATCCCCAGGCCCTGATCCATTCACTCTTGTTCACAGCTGCCCCAAGCAGGCCATGAGGGACTACGTACTTTTCTTTCTCTATCTCCATAGAAAGCCGCTTCATGTCAGTATCCTTGAAGTCGAAAGACAGGCTGTCGCCAGTGAGGTTGAAGCTGGGTATGTCCGGAGGCAATGGTGCTGGGATTGGGTTCATGGGCTGTCAGTGAGAAAGCTCCCAATTAGGAGGTTCGAGTTATACAAGACCATGCTGCCAGGTAACAGGTACCAAAAAAAAACCCCAACCCAAAAGGATGAGCCCTCTCCCCTCAAATCTGACCATTTTCATGCTCATTCAAATCAAACACAAGCTCCCCCTCCTCCCCCACTGTGCACTTGGTTCACTAAGGAAGGTCCTGGGCCAGTGCTAGGAGCTGGAAATGCAGGACGCAAGTCAGAGTCCTTGGCTCTAGGCAGCTGAAAGTCTTGTTCAGGAAACAGATGTGTTCACAAATCCTTGCAGTTAAATAAGGTAAACACTGTAGTCAGGGAAGGAACAGAGACAGAGGGGGCTGGAGGAAGTATGCTAGGAGGAATGCTGCTTCCGCTGGAATCAGAGAATGTGCCAGAAGAAGAAGGGTGCCAGGCAAGAGACACGACGGTGGGTAGGGCAGAGTAACCAGTGATAATGCTAGGCATTTGCAGTGCCCATGTGGGCACTGGAGGCTGGCCCTGGGTCGGGAGGGTTTGCTGACCAACTGTGGGGGCTTGGATTCGGAAGACAGAACAAGAGGAAGCACAGGATGAAACCATTAGATTTGTGTTTAGGACTTCTCATCCCAGAACAAAGGGTCATCTAAAATATGGCCCTGATCTGCTTCTCCAGCGCCTCCTGTTATTTGCCCTGCTAAATCATAACCAGCTACTCATCCCTGACCAGGCTGCCTTCTCGCCTTAGCACTCCTGCCTGTGTTGCTGTTTTTCTCATTCTGTTCTATCCTTTCTCCCTCTATCTCCCTCAGTTCCTTCAATCTCTCACCAAAACCAAAGTGTTTCCAGGTCTCTAGGCCAAATTGACATTCTTTCTTTTTTTTTTTTGTCGGCCGTGGGGCTTGAACTCTGGGCCTGGGCACTGTCCCTCAGCTCTTCAGCTCAAGGCGAGCGCTCTACCACTTGAGCTACAGAGCCACTTCCGGTTTTCTGGTGGTTTATTGGAGATCGGAGTCTCACGGTCTCTCCTGCCCGGGCTGGCTTTGAATCGCAATCCTCAGATCTCAGCCTCCTGAGTAGCTAGGATTACAGGTGTGAGCCACCAGCGCCCGGCAACATTCTTTCTTTTGTTGTGCCACACACTATGAGCATGTTTCTGCAGTGACTCTTTCTGGTAATTTCAACTTGTAAACCATTCCCTTTTGGATGTGTCTTCTCCCTTCTATAGCCCTAAAGTTTCCCAAGGGCAGAATCTGCCTCCATTTCATCCTTAGACCTTTCACTGAGATTAGGATGGTGTCTGGGAGGGGGAGAGCCTCAAAACTTTCATTTGGAATGATAATGAAGCCTAATGCAGGGTATATGGATGGTGTCAGAAACGGTGTTAAGTGAGAGCTTCTGCAATACTAGGGATATATATTTTTTAATCTCAATATTGAATATGTGGGTGTGTTCAGTCGATGAAACTTCATCAAGATATACAATGGTAATTTAAGTACTTCTCTTTACTTACACACACACACACACACACAATTATACTTCATAAAAATTTCCAGCTGGGTGTGGTGGTACATGCCTGTAATCTCACCTACTAGTAGGTAAAGAAGAATGAGTTTTGCAGCTGGCCTAGGGCCAAAGCATGAGACTCTCTGAAAAATAAAGCAAAAGGACTGTGTGGCATGGCTCATGCGCTACTGCACTTGCCCTGAGCAATCACAAGGCCTTGAGTTGTTCAATTCATAGTACTGCCAAAAAGAATGATTTTTTTTCACCCCAGAAGTAATGTGTGGCTGTCTGGACTCACACAGTTGGCTTGAGTTGTCTGTTACACACTAATAGATAACCAGGATCCAAAGTGACAGCAAATTGTTCATGCTCTCCCCTTCCCCTTGCAAATCTGGGTCCTCTGTGCCTCAGTGTTCTGGGCCATGTGTGAGATACAGCATGTATGTGCGTGAACAAGCTGTGTATCTGTGATATGGGGACATCTGTACACTTGCCTAGAATATGTTATCATCTCTTCTCCTGGCTAGACCCCGCTCCCTGTCAAGAGCCAGCTCAGGTGTCACACTGAGCCTCTCCTGCCCCAGGCGGGCTGTGTTTGAGGTACCTGTGCATACCTGTCAGGATCTACATTTTCAACTGCATGGTGTATGCGTGCATAGAGCAGGTGTGTAAAGAGTTACTGAGTGAAAGACACAGAGGAAGGGAAGGGAAGCAGCTTCTACTTATTTCATGACCCCACTTAGCAGGAGTCAAACACTGAGTTGGCAGCTGGGTCTTGCATGGCAGTAATTCATTCTGAGGAGTGCAGTCGATCCTTCCCACAAAAGGATTGTGGCATATGGTATATACTCAGAGTTGAAGATTACATTCAACTCAGCATTAGGAGGTTAGGGAGCAAAATCGCTTGAGGCTAATTTGAGATCATGTTTTACTTAAGAGTAAGAAAAGCATTCCTGAGCTGTAAAACGGCCTGTTGCCTGTAATCTAGATAACCAAAGCGTTAACTACCTAGTCCAAGGCCAATAGTAGATCATGGGTGTCCCAGCCAGACCCTCGCTGGGGGCAGTCAATGCCACTCTTTCCAACTTGTTTGCTTAAATGGTCAACCTAAAGGTACCAGCAGGTGAACCAAAGGGCTGGGAGGACAGGTCTAAAACAGCCGCAAGCGAGCTGGCCCCACCCAGGCTCACCGGGTATGTGGGCTTGGTAGCAAATTCCAGGAGCTTCTGCTTGGCTCTCCGCTCTGCCTCACGGGCTTCCTGCAGGTCTTGCTTTAGCTGGTCGGCCTCCTTGGCCCTGCAGAGAGAGGAAGAAATGTCAGCTCCACAGCAGGCCATGCGAGGAGGTACCTGTGTTAATCCCAGGGATGGTATCTGATAAGGCAAATAGGAACAGCAGAGCAGGAAGGTTTTGCAGAAGTCAGAACTTCCAAGGTGACAACATGAATATTATTCATTTTTTCCATGTTTTAAAAATAATCTTATTAATTAATCAAAGCAGTGCTAAGATTTGAACTCAGGGTCTTGCACTTGCTGGGCCAGTGCTCTACTATCAAGCCATGCCTCTAGCCTATAGTTCATATGAACAAATCCCTCTCCTTGGCAAGGGTAAGGGTACATGAATGGAGGAAAGAAGGGTGAGCAAACACAGTCATTATACTTGTATATTATGTAAAAACTGAACCATGTAGCTGGGCACTGGTAGCTGATGCCTGTAATCCTAGCTACTCAGGAGGCTGAGGTCTGAGGATCATGGTTTGAAGCCAGCCCAGTTCATGAGCTCCAATAAACTACTCAGAAAAGCCATGATACCATGGCTCAAGTGGTGGAGTGCTAGCCTTGAGCACAAAGAGGCTCAGAGACAGCACTCAGGCCCTGAGTTCAAGCCCCAGGACCAGGAAAAAAAAAAAAAAAGAACAACACTCAGTTTGTTGTATCATTGCTAAATGACTCTATGTTCTTTTTTGGGGGGGGGTCCAGTCGTAGGGCCTGAACTCTGTGCCTGGGTACTGTCCCTCAGCTTTTCAGCTCAAGGGTAGTGCTCTACCACTTGAGCCACAGCGCCACTTCCGGCTTTTTTCTTTTTGCTTATGTGGTGCTGAGAATTGAACCCAGGGCCTCAGGCATGCAAGGCAAGCACTCTACCACTGAGCCACCTTCCCAGCCCTGACTCTATGTTCTTGATCACATATATGGTGCATATACACACACACATACACACACACACACACACACACACACGCAACTGAGGGAAGCTAGGAGGAGGACACAGAATCAGAGGGAAACAGGAAAACATACAACAGAGGGGCCCATCAGCACTGGACATAGATGAAAATGAACTAAGTAACTCAAAGGCAGCAATGGGAGGAAGGGAATGAGAGGGAAAGAGGGAACAGGTTACACTAAGCAAAAGGAAATAAATGTAAATATCACCTGATGGAAGAAATAGTTGCACTGTCAAAGCTCATAGAATTCACAAACTTTATAGACCATGATAATCACAATTTGCCTTGTGAAGGTTAAAATGTGTTTGCAACTTTAAGTATCACTATTCCACAACACTGTGAAATATATGAAATTTATGTAATCACCTAATCTCAATAAAAAATATTTTAAAAACCATGTAATTTGAGGGTAGGGATGGGAGAGAAGAAGTAGGAGAGAATGAGGGAAGGGTGACATTGGTCAAGATGCAATGTACCTATAACCTGACATATAGAATCCAAACCTCTTTGTACAACTACTTAATTAAATAAAACAAAACAAAACAAAAAAAAAAACCCACTAGCAAATCCAGACTGGAAGCCAGTGGGGAAAGAACCAAACAAGAAGTTCTTTGAGCCAGCTGAATGCTGGGATGCATGACTATAGTCGCAGCTACTCTGGAGGCTGAGACAAGAAGATCACTTGAGCCCAGGAGTTTGAGGTCAGCTTAGATAACATAACAAGTCCCTGCCTAAAAAAAAAAGTTCTTCAGTAATAGGTAGGGGCCTGATGTGCTCTTTTCTTGGTAATTGGTGAAGAGTGACTGGGCAAAGGAGAATATGAAGATCTAAAATGTTGATACAGGGCCAGATATGGTGGCACACATCTATAATCCTAACAGTTGGGGCTAGTCTGAACTAGATCTGAAAGGAAGATCCTGTCTCAAAAGCCAGAAACAGCCAGGTGCTGGTGGCTCATGGCTATAACTCTAGTGACTCAGGAAGCTGAAATCTGAGGATCACAGTTCAAAGCCAGTCTGGGAAGGAAAGTTCACGAGACTCTTAACTCCAATTAACCACCAGACAAACCTAGAAGTGGAGCTGTGGCTCAAAGTGGTAGAGCATTAGCCTTGGGCACAAAAGCTCAAGGATAGTGCCCAGGCCCCGAGTTCAAGCCACACACTGACCAAAAAAAGAAAACAAAAACACCCAGAAATGAGAGGTTGGAAACGTAGCTTAGTCAGTAGAGCACTAGCCGATAAGGGAGTATCAAACATCAAGTTTGAGTCCCAGTCTCAGACCTAAAAAATAAAAGAAAAACCAGAAGCAAAAACATCTTATACTGGATTACAAAGGGCAAAACATAAGTGAGTGAAACATGTGTGGGCCAAGCTCCCACATCCTCCCTGGGCAGGAGGATGTGCCCATCACTGATGGTATCTGTGTGCTGGTGCAGATCCTAGCCCTACAGGACAAGGGCTGGGTGTGGCATGCGAGCTGGCACTAGGACCCAGTCTCACATGCATCAAACTCACAGGAAATGTCACCCTCACACAGAAGGAAAGGGACCTGAAAAAGGTCCCAGACAAGGAACCATCTTCCCAGAATGACAAGCAAGGAGGCAGAGTGAAGAAAACGGCAGGGACTGTACCTTGTAGCTAAAGCCAAATTCAAGTGTCCCAAATCAATAGAGCCAGATGCTGTGGGGAGCGTGCCAGTGTTTATGTTAAAGCTGCAGGACCAGAACAACATAGAGCCTAGAACAGTTCCTAAGAAGTACAGACAACAGTCCCACTCTTCAGGGCTGGGATGTAGTTCAGTGGCAAAGCACTTGCCTAGCAAGCGCAACGTCCTGGGTTCGATCCCCAGTACCAAAAAAAAAAAAAAAAAAAAAAAAAAAAAAAAAAGTCCCACTCTTCAACCTGATCACGAGCTGGGGCATCCTGGTCACAAAGAAAATCATGGCTCTCCAGCTCCATCTGTGAGGAAGGCTTCAGGAGAGTGAGCGCCTACTTTTACTTCAAAGGAAAACAACTGCTGCTTACCTGCCTTCCAAATAAAGAGAGGAAAACAACACTTTTTTTTTTTTTTAAATACAAAAAGAGCCTCTTTGCATCTTGTCAGCTAAAAGTAGTCTATGGATACACTTGGTGATTTTATTGCAAACTCAGTTATGGGAGGGGCGGTTTGTGGATGTAAGTGTGTGTATGTGTGCACGTGTGTGTATATGTGACCCCTGGGCAACAGAACTCTATTCCCATGCCTTTCCAATAGCTCCAGCAGCCTGTCAAGGAAAAGTCCTCCCACACCCCCCTTCCTGAAGGAGAAGCATCTGGACGCAGCGTCCAGCTCTGCTTCAGGGCAAGGCTAGGAACACACAGACCTAGTCAGGGTCCTAAGGCCCAGGCCTCCCCCTCACCTCCTCTCTGACTCCTCAGCCATCTTCAGTGCCAGCACCTCAGCCTCCAGCACCTTCTGCTCCATCAGGCGCTTCTCCTCCTCCGTCCTAATGGCCGTAGCCTTGATGCGCTGCATCTCCTGCTCTGCCTCTGCAGCCTTCTGGGCCAGCAGCTTGGCCTCCTCCTCTGTGATCTGAGCCTTCTCAGCCAACAGGTCAGCTGTCTCCTCAGACCTCATCTGCAGAGAAGAGTGTCTCAGCTGATGCAGGCCGGGGACCTATCTCCTCTCATCTGGCCTCCAATACACAGGGCAGCAAGAACCAGTTTCAGACTTCTTGGCTTTAACAAAGGGTCATCTTCCCCCAGCACCGCCCTGGCAATAGATCACATGCCACATCCATTCAGAAGAGCTCTTTAGGCTCCACCATGGAGAACAAGAGCAAGCATCCATTGGTTGTTTTTGGCAGTACTGAGGTTTGAACTCAGGGCCTCATATTTGCTAGATAGCACTCTTATCATTTACACCATGCTGGGAGTTCAGCAAGCATCCTTTTTAGAGTACCCTCTTTAGGTGAGGCGTATACTTTATGAGGGAGAAGAACAACTTAAAATTCTTCTCTTTCCCTTTAAATCAGTGGTCTAAAACCAAAGGAGGCTTGTTCTGGGGGCCCACATAGGGGAGGCAGGTGTCCCACCGATGAGCTGCACCTATGGCCCTCAGCCCTCAAGGCATTTTTGGTTGTTTTTTTGTGTTTTTTTGGTTGGTTGTGGGGCTTAACTCTAGGTCTGGGTGCTGCCCTCAATAGTTCAGCTCAAGGCTAGTGCTCTACCATTTGAGCTCAGTGCTCAACTCACTTCCAGTTTTCTGGTGGTTAATTGGAGATGAGTCTCACAGACTTTCCTGCCCAGGCTGGCAATCCTGGCAAACCATGATGCTCAGATCTCAGCCTCCTGAGTAGCTAGGATTATAAGGCATGAGCCACAGGTGCGCGACCCTCAAGGCATTTTTAACTGTCCTTAGGGTAGCTATAGCTATCAGTTGGGGCAGGAACATAGCTAATTATCCTAAGGAGAGGTGCCCCAGATGATGAGCTCCAGGGGTCAGTACTGCTGAAGCCACCAACCCCAGCTTTGAAGGACATGCTACCCCGACAGAGGAGCTTGGAGGGACAGAAGCTCAACCTAGTCTCCTTCTGCCAGCATAGGTTCCAAGAAAAGGCATCCACCTTTTACAAGCTGAAACAACTGAGCACTGATGCTCATGCCTGTAACCCTAGCTACTCAGTAGGCTGAGATCTGAAGATCATGGTTCAAAGCCAGCCTGGGCAAGAAAGTCCATGAGACGCTAATCTCCAACAAACCACCAGAAAGCCAGAAGTAGAGCTGTGGCTCAAGAGGTAGAGTGCTAGCCTTGAGCAGAAAAATCTCAGGGAAAATACCTAGGCCCTGAGTTCAAGCCCTGGGACTATCACCAAAAAAAAAAAAACAAAAAAAACTGAAACAAGCTCAGTACTGTGGGTCACACTTACAACTCTTGCTACTTGAGAGGCAGAGATTGGGAGTATTGCAGTTCAAGGCCAGCTTGGGCATAAGTTCAAGAGACTCAATGTCAATCAATAAAAGCTGGGCATGGTAGAGTATGCCTACCATCCCAGCTAAATAGGAGGCATAAATACGAAGAATGAGGTTCAGGCTAGCCCAATCAAAAAGTGAGACCTTATTTAAGCACAAATCTCTGGAGGTGTGGCTCAAGTAGTAGAGTGTCTGCTAGCTAGCTCAGAGCCCAAGTTCAAACCCCAACATTACAAAACACACACATGCACACACTGACATAAAGTATATCAAAGCAAATGTTGCTAAGTCAAGGTCCTCAGGAGGTGTGATTCAGGAGTTCCCATGTAGTCTCTTGGGATTGGACCCTCAGAAATCACCAGTGCTTCGTTGGCCATGGTTGCTTCTTCTTTCATTTGTAGCAGCCTCCTCTCCAGCTCATCCCTTGTGCGCTCAGCCTCCTCCCGCATCTGCTTCTCTCGAGCAAGGCGCTGCCGCTCCATCTGGGGATGAACAACGGCCGGGACTGAGTCCTGGTGCTCCAGAGACCCAAGAATGCCCAGTTTTGAGAGCTTCCCCTTTGGGAACCCTTATCATCCTTCACTTAAGTAGCCCGGGTCATGCTTGCTGCCCCACACCCTCTGTCCTTATCAACCAGCCACGGAGTTGAAAGCTATGCCCTTTGGAGAAACTCCTACTGATGAGCAAACAAATGAACAAACAACAACAACAAACCAAGCTCACCATTTGTGAGCCACGCAGACCTTTCCCACCTCTCCCGGGTTCATCTGCAAAACATACTGCATCCACGGCTCCCACCCTACATCTCAGCCCCACACAGCCTTGCCCAGCCGCGGTGGAGGCAACTCCTGAGCCAGGCAGGGAACACAGCCCCCAACCTTAAGGGAACAGAACAAAGCCTCCGCTGCCACCTGGATCACTGTGTTAATTGGGCCACCTGCCGAGCTCAATGAGGGGAACAAGTGGAGGACATCCTTATTCTCTGAGTTCAAAATGCACAAGCCAGAAGTGACCACTGCACTATTTTCTGTCTTAAATAATGAACATACATTTAATTATTTCTCTCTTGCTTTAATCTCATACCAAACTCTAGTAGTATAAGATTTCTAAGACGGTTGATTTTTTTCCAAATATGAAATAAAAACCGGTGCATTGGAACTTGAAAGAATAATGCCAAAGACAAGCAATAAAATGCAGTCCATTCTGGGCTGGGGATGTAGCTAAAGAGGTAGAGCACCTGGGCGAGCAAGGGTGAGGCCCAAAGTTCAATCCTCAGTACTGACAAAAACAAACAAACCCCAAAACTTGTTCTCTAACCACCACCAAATTACAATATTCATTTGTATTCTTCTCCATGGCTAGGCAGCCTCTTTCAATTCCTAGCACTGGACCTTTCTGGAGATCTCTGCTTTGATAATAAAGAAAATCTCATCTGCTAAGCAGTCTGTTGCTTACAAAGACCTTGATTACAATGTGCTCTCTGATCTGAGATAGAAAACAGGCATCACTGGCTCCATTTGATGGATGGGAAAACCAAGTCACACATGAAGCGTCAGATCTGGCTTCAAGGTCTCTGTTCTGCTGGACCGTATACACACTATTCCCTGCCAGGGCCCAGAGGCCATCATACTTCCACGGTCCTTGATGCTTTCAGATCTGTCACTTCTGAGCTTGGCTCTGCTGAGGGCAAGGTCAAAGAGAGCTCTCTTTAAAGTTGCCACTATGACTCGATGCTGGCTTTGGAGTATTTCTTTGTCCAACAAAACCTATCCGATCATCCCCACAGTACCCCAAAGTGCACACTGATGGCCTGCTGTCCCAGAAAGCAAAGAGATGGACAGCAGAAGGGCCACTGGCATTTTACTCTAAATCTCAGGGCTGGGAGCCAGCCTCTCTGGGGGTTCCCAAGCAGAGAGCAGCACATAGGCTAATTATTACACCTCTGAGCTGGCAAGTCCTGAGGGCAGCTCACTGCAGCTGCCGCTACTCTATCTAGCAGTTTGCCCAAAAAACAAAATTGATATTCTCAGCAGCAAAACCCAAATTAACTGCGTGGATTTCAGTGAGTAGAGAAGGTCTGTGAGTAAAAAACAATGATGTTGTTCGTCCAGTCTGCTGAAAGGCCCTCTCCAGCACCTCCCGTGGCGGGTGCCATGCCCAGGCTGACCTGCAGGGAGGAAGTGCAGCCAGAGCCTAATTAGCATTCTGCAGCAAGCACTGAAATGCCGCCATGTATTCTATCATCATCTAATTAGAAAAGGGGAAGGCAGGGCAAAGGAGACAGTCAGGAAAAAAGAAAGATAGGTGGATGGAGGGATGAAAGCATGCCTGGCTTCCCTATCCCAAACTTGGCACATCACACTTAAGTGGACAAATGACTAGAAATGTTTCTTTTAGATGTGCTTTTAGAATGGACTGCTCATATCCATGGCTGACATCCTGATAAGATCCAACTGGGATAAAATAAGAGCAGATGTGTCTATGACCAAAAGACTCCTGATGACCCACACTACAGACTAATTCCCATGAGAAGACTTGCAAGGAGTTGTAGCACCAGCGAAAACTAGTCTTGCTTACCTGCTTTCTAGCCTTCTCCTCCCTGGCCTGGGCTTTCATTTGCTGAACTTCCAGAGAATCAGCCTTTCTTCTCCTCATAAACAAGTCATGGTTCCCGATACACAGCTGGAGAATCTGTGGCCACAGAAGCAGGAAAAATGTCAAACCCACAAATTGGTTTTGCTGCTTACCAGGCCACCTGTGCTACAGCATCATGGGCTCTTGTGGGTGGTAGTACACTTGAGGAGGAAAAGCATGGAGTAATAGGCATTCTGCTGATGGCCTCTAGTGCTCTTGGCTCTGGACACCTAAAATGAACACGCTTCAGAGAAGAGGAGGCAAAATTCACAAGTGAATTCAGATGTACCTCACTCTCTTAAGTCAAGATGTGGCTCTAGAGGTCAGGAAAGACAGGAAAGGTCATTGAGTAAGTTGGGCTGTTACAAAATGTTATTCATGTGGGGAAAAAATAAATGGGATCCTGCCCTCACACCGGACACAAAAACTGACTCCAAGGGGATTAAAGACATAAATGCAAAGGTAAGCATTAGCAATTGATACTAGAAAATAGACAAGAAATTCTTTACAATTAGGAAAATGAATGATGTCAAATAAGAAACTAAAAGCACATATGATTAAGAAAAAGTTTTTTTTTAATATCTGTCAACATTAAAACTAAAAGATTTTGTTTTTCACAACATTATAAAAAAGAAAACAAGCCACACACTGGGAGATAAAACAAATAAACAACCCAAGAGGAAAATGGCCAAATGACATGAAACAAGTACTCAACAGAAGTTGGAAAGATGATTTTGTCAATAAATATACACAAAGATATTCAACTTCATTACTAATTACAAAAATGTAAATCAAGACTGGGTGCTGCTTGCTTACACCTGTAATCCTAGGTACTCAGGAGGTTGAGCTCTGAGGATCACAGTTCAAAACCAGCCAGGGCAGGAAAGTCCGAGAGACTCTTAGCTGCAATTAACCACCAGAAAACTTAGTGGTGCTGTGGCTCAAGTGGTAGAGCGGTGGCCTGGAGCTGAAGAGCTGAGGGACAGCACCCAAGCCCAGAGTTCAAGCCCCATGATGGAAAAAAAAAAAAAGTAAATCAACATGACACAGTGCCTGACACGTCTGAGACCCTGGGTTTGGTTCCCAGCATTGCTATCCCTCCTAAAACTATTAGTAGGGAAACTTAAAACTTTAGACTTAATAGGTAAAGCTAAAGGGAAAAATGTATATCAAATAAACTATCATTCTACACCTCATAAGAGGATACTCTGATGAGGAAAGTTTCCTTTAAAAAGCAGCATTCAACAGGGTGCGGAGTGGTTCACACCTATAATCCTAGCTACTCAGGAGGCTGAGACTTGAAGAACATGGTTTGAAGCCAGCTTGGGAAAGAAAATCCATGAGACTCCTTTTTTTTTGGTCAGTCATGGGGCTTGAACTCTGGGCTTGGGTGCTGTCCCTGCGCTCTTCAGCTCAAGATGAGCGCTCTACTGCTTGAGCCACTGCACCACTTCCAGTTTTCTAATGGTTTTTATTGGGGATAAGAGTCTCACGGACTTTCCTGCCCGGGCTGGCTTTGAACCGTGATCCTCAGATCTCAGCCTCCCGAGTAGCTAGGATTATAGCCTGTGAGACTCTTTATCTCCAATTGACCACCAGAAAACCAGAAGTGGTGCTGTGGCTCAAGTGGTAAAGTACTTGTCTTGAGCCAAAGGGCTGAGGGACAACCCAGGCCCAGAGTTCAAGCCCCATGACTGACCAAAAATAAACTTTAAAAAAGCATTCGATTTCTCAGAAAAAATCCAGTTATTAATAATGAAAACCAGTACTTAACTTACCAGCTTATTAACACGAAGCTTTGAGGAGTTAAATTTGAAGACATCAATTTTCTTATCCAGTGGTTTAATAGTAAACTGAAAAAAGGAAGTAGAACAGTTTTAGCAGGCCAGCCTAGAATGCTACCACCAACTTGGAAGTTCCACAAAGCAACAACCACCCTGGCCACAGTCCAGCACAAGGCCAGGCCTTGGCCTCGCTTCCTGGTGCCCAGGAACAAAGCCTTGGTAAATCAGAGGCATACAGGGCTCCAAAAGTTCAGGATCCTAAACTGTGTTTTATACCATGCAATACCTTAGGTGGCTATGAGGGAAGGATGCTTGATGACCTCAAATTAGAGCCTGTGGCAGGCCCACCCTCAAGGCCATAGTAGGAGAGCCATGTAGTCTACAACTCTGCCTCTGCCTTCATGAAGCTCACAATCTAGCAGGAACCAGACTAATAACCATCAATTACTCAAAAAATGGTACCAAGTAGTGACTCACAAATGTCCTGGGGAAGTAGGAGAGGACTGGTGCTGGACTTAGAAGAGTCTGACAGAGTAAAAAAAAGTAGGGTGGATGGCTTTCTGGAGAGGATAAACTATAGGAATAAAGCAGAGATGGGGAAAGGGAAATAAGGGCATATTTGATGTTATTAGTTTCCTGGTGATGGTAATGATACTATGGGCTGAGAGCAGGAGAGAGGCAGAGGAGGCTGGGTATGTGTGGCGCAAGAGTTAGAGGGGTTTGGACTTCACATGGTAGGACACAGCTGGTCACTACAGCTTACTGAATGTGGACCGTGTTTGATAAAAGCTGTTAATAGAAGGAATAAAACATAAAGTACAATGGACTGTTGTACAAGAGAAACAGTTCCTGAAATCAAAGAGAAGAGAAAGTTGAATGATAAGAACAGGGTTGCAGCTCAATAAGAGAGGACAAGGCCAGACCCCTGGCAGGGAAGCTTAGAAAAAAAACAAAGACAACCGCCACTCTCAGCCAGCGGAGGAGACCTGACAGATTCTAGATTCCAAAGATGCCCTTGAAAACTGCACATCATCACGTTAAACAAAGGAAACCAGGTCCTGAAGGACAAAGGCTGCATGTTCTCTCTGATTTGCAGAATTTAGTACTACAAGATAGACACAGATATATACATATACATACACATATACATATACATACACACCTATGCGACTATTCAGGGGATGGTGGGGGAGGGGAGAGTGAGGCTCATGGAGGGTAAATAGTATTGATATACATGGTGTCTATGTCGGAAGATGGCATAAGGAAACTCACCGAAAGCTGTTTAATAAGGGGTAGAAAGAGCAAATACAGAAGGCTAATCTGATTAAAATATAATATATGCAGCGTGAAATGCCACAGGGAAACCCCTTGATACAATTAATTTACACTAAAGAAAAGGAATGATAGGAATGTAGAACAGTTCTGTTGGGGAGTGGGTACCAAGGGGAGAAGGAGGGCAAATAAAGGAGGGTGAATTCAGTTGTAGTACTTTATATGTATATGAAAAAAGAACAATAAAGATGAGGGTATATGAGAGAGAGCAATAGAGGGGATGAATTTGACCAGAGGACATCATGTGTATCGATGGGAATATAAAACAAAAAAAAGTCATCATATTCTAATCCTAACTACTCAGGAGGTTGAGATCATGGTTCAAAGCTAGCCCAGGAAAGAAAGTCAGTGAGACTCATATTGGATTAACTAACAAAAATCTGGAAGTAGAGTTGTGGTTCAAGTAATAGCCTTAAGTAGAAAAAGCTCAGAGACAATCCCAAGGCTCTGAGCTCAAATCCCAATAACAGCACTCAAAACAAACAACAAACAGCAACAAAAACAAACAAGACCACAAAAAGCCATACAACTGACATTGAAAAAAAATATTCAGAAGATGCATACCTATTCCCAAGAAAGTCTTATTTGGCTGTCATACATAACTACCAAGACAACTTCCCATCCTGCCCAGGCAGCTTTACTGCGTGAGTCTTTGATGTGGTGGAACATGATGGCGCCTGGCCCCAGGAGAGGGTACTTTAGAGTTTGTTGTGTCAGGCCACACTGGGGGAGTCTGTAATCCTTGGGTTCTTGGAAAAAATGTGTGTTTGGAGAGTCTTCAGTGCAGAAAGGTGGGTTAGGAGGTAACAGATTCTATGCTATGGGAAGACAAAGTTAAATCAGTGGCACATCTACTGCTTAAGTTAAATGGGGCTTTCAATCTAAGTGCTTTCAAAAAGAACTACTTAATGCTCACTTCCCAGACTAACTACTTATAAGAACTTCAAAGTCAGGATGGTTAGGATTAAGAAACCTCAACCTGAGCCACGTTGTGATGGATGGAGCATGCCTGTAATCCCAGCGATTGCGAGGCTTAGGCAGAACTGTGAGTTCCAGACCAGCTGGGCTACATGTACACAGCAAGACCTTGCTGTGTTAAAAAAAAAAAAAAAAGAGCCCAATCTGCTTTAGCAAGCATGAATAGATCTCAAGCACAGACTGGGAACCAAGGCTAGTGTTCCTTTCCTCGAGTTTCTACAAAGAAAGAAAATGAAAAATCTGCTTATAGCTCAGGGTTCTGCAGGCAACAACACAAACCATGTGATTCACTCTCAACTCTGTGCCGTGGATGTGCAGGTGCCAGCAATGCACTGAGCACAGGCAAGTCTCTGGGTCTCCTTGCAAATCCAGGGCTGGGCCACCCTGGCTCCCAGCCTCTGCTACTCCATTTATCAGACACAGCCACTAGATCCCTCTGCATCCCTGCTTCCTGGTATAACACCCACACTCAAAACAAAGCCCAGGCCTTAACAGCAGGGCTCTTACAAGGATTAAGTCACAGTCAGGGGAGAGTGCTTGTCAGCGGAAGGGAAGCACTCTCACCACCATAACCATTGGTCCTCCTACTGTACTTGTCCATCATAAGAGCCCAGTGTGACTACATTACAGTTGCTCAAAGGGCTGAAACTGAGTTGTTGTTTTTTTTTCTTGACCATGTCCAGGCCCAGAGTCCAAGCTCCACAACCAACCAACATATATACATACATACATACATAAAATGAACAGGGCCTAGGTGCAGAGCTTAGTGACAGTGCTTGCCCACATGCACGAGGTCCTGGGTTTGAATATATGAATGAACATAGGACTGAGACACAGATACAGAAAGAGTTGGATACAGAAAGAGCTCAAAAAGGCAACACTTAAAATACAAAGAGAATTGATCACCAGAAATAGAAAGCTAAGTAATCAGAAAATGTTCTTCTTTTCTTTTTTACTGTTCTTTGGGGTTTAACACTGACAGGTTGAGCTTCCTTGTCTCTCATTAGTCAATAGTGGGGTTTAGCAATTCTCTTTGAAAAGGGGATGACAATACTGTTCTGTAAATACTTTAAAAATCAACAACCAAAATCCCAAAGCCTGGGAATTAAAAAGTCCTTTCACTGACAGCAGGAGATGGCCTGGCTGGGGAAGCGCCAGCACAGAGGAGAGATAGGAAAGACCTTTTACTGGGCTGCAGGGCCACGAGAAGCATCTGCAGTACAGACATGTCCTACCTCCTTGTCGCTGTATGAGATGTTTCGGATTTCATTCCACGGGAAGGAGATCTTGGGGGTCAGCCTGTTCTCAGGGTCATAGATGTGAAGCCCCAGAGCATCCACTCCAAGCAGCAGCTCTGTGCCCTTTTTATTCTGCAGAGCCAATAAAGAGCAGCCACTGTCAGCTCCAAGGGGAGATTTTATTCAACTTTCTTAAGAACCTGGCACACACTGTTACATCTGACAAGTTTCAACAGGTCCCAACAGAAATCACAACTGTCTTGCAACCCAGGGGGCTTCCAGCTTCTAGAACTGGAGCAAGCAGAGGCAAAAGTATCCTGTTTGGGTGAGTTAAGTGTCCCCGGAAGGGGTCATTTTAGGGTTCCTCTCACTGGTTCAATGTCTAAAGGAGGGGTAATCTAAATGTTACCTCATAGATTAAAACTTACACAATAAAACATTTCTTATATAAAAAGAAACACTGTTGGGGCCTGGGGATGTCACTCAGTGGTGGAGCACTTCATAGCATGCACAAAGCCCTGGACTAGATCCCCAGTGCAAGAGGAGGGAGCAAGGGAGAGAAATAGAGAAGAGGAGGAGGGAGAGAGAGTATTGGATTACTAAAATCTTGAATTCTGGGACTAGTCAGTCTCATTTTAGGTTACAATGCAGACTCAATGTATTTTTACTCTACTAGAGTCAAAGATTAACTATAACATCTAGTTAGTGGGTATTATAGATATACACTAAAAAATTCTTTTGACTTCTCTCTGAATGTTTGAAATGTTTAATGTTAGGAACATATATTAACATGAATTATATACAAGTTACACCATAATAAAGCTGTGTAAAGCACTGACTATACATGTATAGTGGACGTGGTCAGCAGAGGGGACACTCAAGTATGAACAGTAAGCTACAACCTTACAAACAGCTGTGCTGGCCAGCAGCCAGCACCGAGACCAGCCTTAGTTTGGTGAAGGAAGGAAATCCCACACAAGGACCCCACAGCTCCTGACCTCTTGCTGACAACTAGGAAACTGAAGCAAGACTCAAGGGTGGAAAGCAGATCTGCAAATGGAGAAAGTGCTTGGACTCTGACTAGAAGTAGCAATCTAACAGCAGGTGTCAGACGAAGCAAGAGCTCCAAGATGAATCTCACACCTGAAGTCAGGCGCTACCACCCAGCCAAGAGCCTTCCGCTCCTCGGCAAAGCTTTTAACCACGTGCTAATAGAAGTGATGCTTTCTATTCTTCCATCTATAACACATTCTGGAAAATTAGGTATTTCATCGTATCTCTTACGTCTTAGTTAAAACTTGAAAAAAAGAAAGAAATTACCCTCTTGGTCCCTATCTATGACACTTCTAGAAATTAAATGGAGAACATCCCCTATTAAACTGTTTTGATCACACAGTATCTCATTAGTGTGTGTGTCGATCCTGGGGCTTGAACTCAGGAGCTGGATACTGTCCCTGAGCTTTTTTTTGCTCAAGGCTAGCACTCTGCCACGTTGAGCCAAAGCTCCACTTCCGGTTTTGAGGTAGTTAATTGGAGCTAAAAGTCGCATGGACTTTCTTGCCCAGGCTGGCTTTGAACTGCAAGACTCAGATCTTAGTCTTCTGAGCAGTTAGGATTACAGGCATAAGCTACCAGTGGCCGGCTTATTATATTTATTATAATATATATTATATATTTTATATTATATATTTTAATCTATGAATTAAAAGTAAATAAAAATTTTGAAAATTGACTTAAGTACTTGTCTTCATTAATTGTATAGTTTCAGAAATTGTAATATAATGCCTCTAAAATGGCCTAATATTTTAGAGTAGGTGATGGGCATATAGGTGTTAAGATAGGTATTAAGTAATTAAAATCCACAAAAATGTATTAATTGGAGCTAGGCACCAATGGCTCACACCTGTAATCCTAGCTACTCAGGAGGCGGAGGTCTGAGGATCATGGTTCAAAGCCAGCCCAGGCAAGGAAAGTCCAAGAGACTCTTATCTCCCATTAACCACCAAAAAACTGTAAGTGGTGCTGTGGCTCAAGTGGTAGAGAGCTCGCCTTGAGCTGAAGAGCTCAGGAACAGCACCTAGGCCCAGAGTTCAAGATCCATGACTGACAAAAAAAAAGTATTAGTTGGACCTAAAGAAATGGTACAATTAGCAAATACAAATGATGGAAACTTTAAAACAACCTTCTACATTACAATGGCACATTTTAGGCTCGTTTACAGAACATCACATTTCAGTGATGTTTTGTATACAAGTAATCCATAAAAACCTATAGTTAAGAAAATAAGTAGGGTGCCGGTGGCTCACACCTGTAAATCCTAGCTACTCAGGAGGCTGAGATCTGAGGATCATGGTTCAAAGCAGGAAAAGTCCCTGAGACACTTATCTCCAACAAACCACTAGAAAACCAGAAGTGGCGCTGTGGCTCAAGTGGTAGAGCGCTCTCCTTGAGCTGAAGAGCACAGGGACAGTGCCCAGGCCCAGAGTTCAAGCCCCACGACCAACAACAAAAAAGAAAGAAAGAAAGAAACTAAGTAATCTATCCTAGGATATTAAAAATATGCTTTGATTTATTGAATCTTAATATAAAAGTTGTAGGAACCCAAAAAGGGAAAGCAAAGCATAGCTGACCATAAAGGTGTACCACTGTGGCTGATCATTTTAACGCCCCTCATCTGTGACTGACTGCATTATGATCCACTCATTTCCCAGTGATGAAATGCTTCAGCATATGGCATATATTCCTTTGGAAGAAGGTGCCTGCCTGTAAATGGCAAAGACCAGTTCCAGGGTTAGACCTGAGCTGAACACAAACTCTGCTCTCTGCAGAATTGGCTTCCCAAAGGACCATGGACCATTAATGGGCTGAATAGAAAACCAATTAGCCTCACAGTAAGAACAAGAGTTCCACCCAAACAAATCAGTAATCTATAAAGGCAGCTTTACTTTCGGTGGGCCCCGGGGAAAGATGGTATTTCTAGGTGCTCCCTGGCTCTCTGAGAGCTTGAAATAATCAAATGTTACACTTCTAGCATTTCAACAGGTCTCTGCTAAGAGCTACACTGGGTCTGAGTCCCCCAAGGCACTACTGACACTTAATTACCTCTGATCTAATTTGAAGCCCAAAAACAGAAAATCAGGCTCTAAGGAGCTTCCCCTCCCCCATCCCCTTTTTTCTTTACCACTGAACTGTGAAAGGTTCTACCTCTACTACCCTGCGATAAAAAAAGCAACCCACTGGCCATATGGCCCTGGTTCAGTGTCTGAAGGAACTTGGGGGAGTATCCACACACCCGGATTGCAAAGTAGTTCACACCGTACATCTCCAGGTCCTGAGCTATCTTCAAATACTCCATTTCAGCTTCATCCCTAGGAGGAGAAGGGAAGACAATGTCACTGGAGCCAATTGATAAGGGTGAAGGCAGATACCCACCAAGCTGTACATTCTAAACCTGCCATCCCTCTGGAGTCAAGACACCAGCTCAAACAGACATTGGCAGAAGCTCTTTGTACTCTGTAGTCTACTATACACAATCACAATCTTCCACCCCGGCCAAAATAAGAAAACGAATTCATTAGACTATCTCTTGGTTTCAATTTCATGCTGTGCCCTTGGTAAATAGTGACATCTGTCTCAAGTGATTGAAGAAAAGAACACAGGGGTGGGGGGATGGGAAGAGGCTGAGAGCATAGATGGGAATAGAGTGCTTGCACACACGGGCCCTGGGTTTCTACCTGCAGCAATGGGGGGGGGGAGGGAAGGATGGGGTGAAGTATATTATTTTGTAATCTCAAATGGGTTTGATGTTCAAATTTTATTTAAACTGTTGTCTTATTTTAGTGTTCTTCCTCATCTAGAAAGCTCTGTTAATGAACACTTTTTCTGAGCACTACCTGATAGCTAGTTTCTGATTTTATTTCTTGAGGCACTGTTGCAGGTTAGGGCAAAATCTGGGTTGTAAAACCCAAGCCAGGTTACCTAATTCAACGTCCTAAGTCAAATTTAAAGTCAACTCTGGAAGCAGCAATGACTTGCAGAAAACTACCAAGTAGGTAACAGTATTAAAATATTTTAACTCAGGCCTCTCTCTGACCTTGTCTCCCCCTTCCCCCCATCTCAAAATGCTCTCAAATGGATTTTAAAAATTCACCCTGAGAGAACGCCAAGCGTTGGCAAGCAGGCAGAGGAACCAAAAATCACACACTGCTGATGTAAATTGGCTGAATTACTTTGGGAAACTGTTTGACATTATTGCAACAGCAAAAGCCATGAGACAATCCAACAATCTAAGTGTCCTTCAGTAGAAGAATAGATAAATACCTTGTGTTATATTAATACAATGGAATTCTGTGCAGTCATAAAAAAATGAGAAAATTATTACCACATGCCACAAACCCAAATCTCACATGATGAGCTTGAGTAAAAGAAGTATGGCACAAAAATAAAGACACTGGTTGGATTTATCTGAAGTCCAGAATGGACAGCGCCCAACTGAGGATGTTGCTCAGCAGGAGAGTAGTTACCTAGCATATGTGAAGCCCAGCATTCAATACTCAGAACAGTAGGGCCGGAGGGAGGAGCATATATACACACACAAGCAAAATAAAATGGACAAGGCTAGTAGCTATGATACTGGAAATCCAAAGACTTGGTTACCTTTGGGGAGAGAGGAAGCAGGAGGAGGATGGATCATGAACTATTTCCTCCCAATACCTGTGATAACCAATCAAGCAATTTACTTATGATTTGTCCACTTTTGCTATACATGCTGAGAGTTAAAAAAAAAAAAAAGTATGTGAAAGGAAGTTAATTTGAAAAAAAAAAGCCAGGAACAGTGGCACACACCTGTAACCCCAGTTACCTAGAAGGCAGAGAGCAGCAATACGGCAATTCCAGGTCAGCCCTGGCAAAAAAATAAACTCAACCAATAAGCTAGGAAGTGGCAGCACATGCTCCTGACTCCTATGCAGGAAACTGTAGGTAGCAGGACTGTGGTGTAGGGCAATCTCGGCAAAAATAAGAGACTATCTGAAATGCAACTGAAACAAGAAGGAGTGGTAAAGAGCCTGCAGCTAGCCTGAGGTCCTAAGTTCAAGCCTCACTACCACAAATAAAAAAGGAAAAACAAAACTTTAAAGGTTAATGAAAAGATAATCAATCCTGAAAACCATCAGGCTAATACTATTAATAGCACAAATTTTTATCTTTTATTTTACATATTTTTTAGATTGATAAGAACAAATGTTGAGGAAAAATAAAGGTGTAGGGGGACAAACATGTAACATTGTTGAGGACCATGCATTCATAAACCCTTTTGGAGGGCAAGCTGGTAGTACCCAGCAAAATACAAAATGCTTATTAGATGCTTTGACCAGCAGCTCTCCTTCTCTGAGAATCTATCCTCACACAGCTCATACATTTGCTTAACTATAGATGAGACCGTGGTGCCTGAACTCTGAGCCTAGGTGCTGTCCCTCAGCTCTTCAGCTCAAGGCTAGCACACTACCACTTGAGCTACAGCGCCATTTCTGGCTTTTTCTGCTTATGTGGTGCTGGGAATCAAACCTAGGGCCTCATGCATGTAAGGCAAGCACTCTACCACTGAGCCATCTTCCCAGCCCAGCTTTTTTTTTTTTTTTGTACTAGTCCTGGGGCTTGAATTCAATGCCTGGGCACTGTCCTTGAGCTTCTTTTGCTCAAGGATAGCACTCTACCACTTAAGCCACAGCTACACTTTCTGTTTCTTGGTATTTAACTGGAGATAAGAGCCTCATGGACTTTCCCACCTGGGCTAGATTTGAACTGCGATCCTTAGATCTCAACCACCTGAGTAGCTAGGATTACAGGCATGAGCCATTGGTGCCCAGCTGCAGAACTTTTTTGTCAAAGGGAGTAATAGGCAGATTCTCCAAATGCATTCATACTCTTACAATAGCATACTTCCAATTAAATGACAAAGTACAGACACTGACAAGCAATAGACACGCCTACTTTAGAGCAAAGCTTAGACAAGAATACACATGAAACTGAAGAGTGACATTACTCCCAGTTCTCCCTTCCTTTTATATTTTTCAATACTGCATTTTGTTCAACAAGCATGTCCTATTTTCACAGTTCCTTAAGGGGGGGGCGGGGGGACATAAAGAAATATAAACCAAGGATGAAGTGGCCTCACCTGGCTCGGCCCCGGTGCTCCGCGTACCAAGCTGTAATTCTTTCCTCCCACATTTCCGGAGTCATCTGATACAGATTTATTACCTATTGAAAAAGCAAAATGAACAAAAAAAAAAAAAAACCCACACACAAAGTAAGTCTGGGTATTGTATGCCGTTTTTATAATTATGGATCATTTTTACAAAACGGCAAAGCTATTTTTAAAAAGCTGCATGCAGGGAGTCACATGCAGAGCTGGTGTATAAACAAGCAGTATTCAGTTGGCAGAGCACTAGAAGCCGCAGGATTTCTCAGGTCTAACTGCACCCCTGGCTGGCAGCGGCCCTCCTTTTCTGCCTGGCTATATATCCCAGGACCACCTCTGGTAGCAGAGCAATGCTAACCCCAAGGCCCTCACCTGCACAGAAGGTACCAAAGGATGGGTAGAAGTTGAGAAAGGTGAGGAGGGCCTTTATTCCATTCCTACATCTCCTGGGGATTCCCTGTCACTTCAACACCTTTAAAGAACTCACCATGCTAGAGAAATACACTGAACTAACTCCAAGAACCTCTGGCTTTTTATATGCTTCATCAAGAAAGTTGGGCATTGAGGCTCCGTACCATAATCTCAGCAATGGATAAACTGAGGTAGTAGAATTTCAAGTTCAAGGCCAGCCTGGTCAACAGAGTGAATTTGAGGCCAGCCTAGTCTATAAATGATTCTTGTCTCCAAAAACAAAGTAATAATAGCAAGTAAAAACATACGCTTAACTGAGATTCTATAGTCTTTTAGCTCAAGATTTATTACATGGCTGGGAAGGTGGCTCAGTGGTAGAGTGCTTGCCTCACATGCATGAGGCCCTGGGTTCGATTTCCAGCACCCCATAAACAGAAAAGGCTGGAAGTGGCACTGTGGTTCAAGTGATAAAGCTCTTGCCTTGAGCTGAAGAGCTGAGGACAGTGCCAGGCCCAGATTTTCAGGCCCCACAACCGATTTATTACAAACTATGAAAATGTACTTGTCATGTGCTTTCAACTAGTAGATTCCTTCTCCTCCCCTCCCCCCTCCCCCTGCCACAGCCCCCAAAGCAGATATTTGATTTCTTACCCTTTTTGGAAGCAATTCTTCTTGAGCCAAAAATCCCCGTTTGTGCACAGAGGGGTCGTAGTCACCATACTGGAAGAAGAAGAGAGCAGGTGATTGAGATTCTAAAGACTGCTGTCATTTCTGAACAGGGCTCAAGTCGCTCATCCCCTCCTCCCAGCTCCAGGGAGCAATTCAATTCCGATGACAAGTCAAGATTTCAACCTTGCCAGTTTGTTATCCTTGAATGAAAATACAAAGCTGATTATATCTAGGAGCAGAGTTGCAAAAATCCCATAAGGGATGAATGGGTGATGTGCTAATAAGAATGTGACATTTGTATGGAAATGTAGTCTTGTTTTCTAACCCTCCAAGAAAGAAATCACTCGGAAACATTAGCTTTTGGATGGAAACAACAAAACACTACCTTGAAAGTTGTGATTAACAAAGTGTGATAAGAGTCTTACCCACACACAAGCTTTTAAGTGGCTGGTAATTGGAACCAATTGCTAGGTGGGAACCAGGAATAACACAGGCAATATTTTTTAATACCTTTCGCACAAGGGTCTGAAAATTGCTTCAGAAAACTCATGTCATCCCTGTCATTCCTTCTATGTAATGAGTTGAGCAAAAGGTTAACTGATTTTGTAAACGCTGCAGAGCAAGTCACTAGTGGGCCTGGAAATGGGACCTGCATTTTAATTCAGTTCTCCAGGAACAATGACTTAGAAATTTTCTGAGTTTTAAAAAATATTTCTTAAGCCAGGTGTCAGTGGCTCATGCCTTTAATCCTAGCTACTCAGGAGGCTGAGATCTGAAGATCGCAGTTCAAAGCCAGCCCGGGCAGGAAAGTCTATGACACTCTTATCTCCAGTAAAGCATTAGAAAACCGGAAGTGCCACTGTGGCTCAAGTGGTAGAGTGCTTGCCTTGAGCTGAAGAGTGTAGGGACAGTGCCCAAGCCCAGAGTTCAATCCCCACGACCGACCAAAAAAAAAAAAAAAATTCTTTCGAGGGAAGGGATGACATTGTCCAAAAAGAAATATACTCTTTACCTGACTTATGTCCCCTCTGTACATCACCTTTATAACAATTAAAAAATTAAAATAAATAAGTAAATATTTCTTTCTTTCCTAGACAACTCAAGTCCAGGCAGGGACTCATTAAAAATGAGTGCTGGTGGCTCACACTTGTAATCCTAGCAACTCAGGAGGCTGAGTTCTGAAGATTGTGGTTCAAAGCTAGCAGGGGCAAGAAAGTCCATGGAACTCTTCTCTACAAGTAACCAACAACAAATGAGAAATGGAGCTATGGCTCAAGTGGTAGAGTGCTGGCTCTGAGCAAAAACACTCAGGTTCAGCACCCAGGTCATGAGTTCAAGCCCCAGGACTAGCACACACAGACACACACACACAGACACACACACACACACACACACACAAAATAAACAAGGGAGAATGAGGCTAAGGGCATACTTCACTTGGCCTATATTAGCAGGCCCTAGATCCAATCTCCCGAAATTCAAAAAAGAAAACAATGTTTAAAAAGAGGCTAACTGGGGCTGGGAAGGTGGTTCAGTGGCAGAGCGCTTGCCTTGCATGCCTGAGGTCCTGAGTTCAATTCCTCAGCACCACATAAGCAAAAAGAAAAAAAGCTGGAAGTGGCACTGTGGCTCAAGTGGTAGAGCGCTAGCCTTGAGCTGAAGAGCTGAGGGACAGCACCCAGGCCCAGAGTTCAGGCCCCAC